GTTGGACTGAGGTACAGTAGCCAAATCTACTTTTCAGCCATCTATTTTTTGTTGCAATGGTGTTGCCCCTTCGAAAGCTACTAGCCACAGAAGAGCTCACTTCTTCCAGCCTAATGCTCCACACTCCATGTTAAGAAAACATTTTGATGGAAACAGAGTATGACAAGGAGTCTTCTTTACCAGATGCTTTATTTACTTGAAATTATTTAATTGCTTTGACCTAATCCAGACCCAACCTACAAGACTAAGGTCTGGAGTACACTGAAAAGGAAAAGAAAAACATCAAGGCTTTTCAGTTGCCTCTTTTTAAGGCTTACATGTTTCCTAACTGTGTTCCTGCTCTGACCGGTTTTCAAAACCTTAAGGAACAAAACCACTGTCAATTTCAGAGGTAAAAGTGTATCAGTGAGGGATATTTCTAAACAGCCATAAATTGCTTGAGCATTGGATTAACCAAGAATTTCTACAATACTTCAGTCTCTACAAACTCTCATTGAATTTATTAAAAGTGTTTAAATAACAAAAAGAATAAACTAAATGAACAAACATATCTCTTTCACAGGGTACTAGTAATCAAAGATCAGAAAACAGGCCAAAAAAAACCCATTAAGACCAGGAGATACAAAAATGGAAGTGCTAGAATCAAAACATATGCAACACTGATGACTTGCACAAACAAGTACCTAGTAAAAAAAACCCAACAGCAACGCACACATGAATGCAACTTTTAAAAAAAAAAATTTTAGTAACTTTTTGCAGAAAATTAACATCTGCACCCACCTGCTTTTTTTTTGTGTTGTTTCCTTTAAGAGTCCAACAATACAAAACAAAAAATTTACCCTGTAGTGCAGCACCTACAAAAAAAAATCAGTGAAACTCCTTATATAATCCCTGGATCATTTCATGGGACATAGCACTCATTTTCTGATTGGTGGGGGACAGGCAGGAAAGAGGCACAGCATTATTAACCTGTACATGAAGTCTGAGCTTGAGTCAGAAGCTGTAGGTCCTGGTACCCTGAGGCTTACTTCCAAACATTTTTCTGCTACATGCAAGTTACCTGAAATAACTGTTACTAATTTATGCAGACCAGCAATTTTCCACGGTGCAATATATGATTTTATCAGTACAAATTAAGTCTCAATGGGAATGTTTTGTGCACTACATATACAGCGAAAACAAAAATAACATTCACCTGACCTCACAAGATTTCATGGTGTCATGTAATGAATGGTGACTGCCATACTGTGCAACTACAACACACTGTAAATAAACACACTCTAGCAATACAGTGCAGAGCAGCATGGAGGTTCAGGAAGACTCAAGTTGGCTCTTTAATAAGGTTTCTTTTGAATTGAGAGATACAAAAATAGCTCCTCTCTTCACAGAACACAAGTGATTCATGGGTGCATTTCACAATACACGCTGTTGTGTGCGCTACTGTACTCACTGTGCCTCTCACCACCACATTGCACTGCTACTGAAGAAAGCTTAACTGTTTACTTACTAGTGTTATCTTTTTCTAATTAGCTGGCAAAATGTAACTGTCTGCCTAACAGAAAACAGCTGAACCGAGAAAAGTATGATTTTACAGGAACAGACACATTGCAAGGAAGAAAATTAATATGAAAACAGAAATTCAGATTCAAGCTGTACAAAACTTATGCAGACTTTGTCCTCCACAGTTTACAAACAGCCAAAAGTCAGATTATTTTGTTGTCTGTTTTTAAGATCTCATCAAATGTGACAGTCCAAACATGTAGCTCCAGGTGCTGTAAAATAAAGTTAAATAAGCCAATGAAACCACATTGCACTAGGACTTTTCAGCCAAACCAACCTGCTCAGGCTCAGCCCCAAATGTAGCATGTTTGATGATGAGACAGGGTTGGGAAAAGCAAAGCAAATATACTTCACAAGCACAATTAAAAAAAACAAAACCAAACAACCAAAACCAGAAGATACAAAAAGAAAATAATTGTGCTTCAAGACTGCAGTAGAATTACTTAGCAAACCAAGTAGGTTTTTCTCTTGAGAACTGAAAGACTGTGTTAGATCTACTGCTTCCACATTATACCATGGTATAATATATAGCAGTCTGTCTACAGGAAAAGAAAAAGTTTATGATACCTCATATCATATCTACGGATATGAAATAAAAGTGTAAGTTGTACTGTAGTGGCCAGGAAAGATCTATTAGATTTCTACAAGTCCTCACACAAGTAGCTACCACTATCTTCACACTGAAAGGTCTGCTTAACATCTGAACATAGGCACCATCTCTGCTAATTAACACCTTTGAATTTTACACATTCTGGTTTAAACAGATGAAAAGTATTAAACACTTAAGCAGCTTTAGGAACTCAATTACCTGGGAAGAAAGAGTTGGAACCAAATTTAAAATGAAGGGCTTTTAGCTGATGTACATTCAAGACAGTCAATTTTTGCAGACTCCCACATTTGAGGCCTATTATAAAGCTCTACCACCAAGTCCGTGTGAATAAGCATCCTGGCACCTGGTTAAAGAGCCTGTGATTCAAAACAAACCAAGCAGGTGGCAACTTAGAATTAGCATCTTATTTACTAAGGAGCTACTAACTGACTGATACTGAAGGAGTTGCTGCATAAAAGAGAATCACTGCATGTTTGTTTCTTTAATTCGATAATGGCACAGCAGTGTAAAAAATATAGGAAAAGATAAAGTTGTATGTTCTTTACACATCCAGTTCAGATAGGGACATCATTTACTCAAAAACAGGTATTTACAAATTACCTTCCTCCATAATATAAAAGACTGGTATAGTATAACTTGGATGTGTGTCATGTGCCCTCTGAAATCAATAGTAAATAGTTTTTAATTTAATAGGAAGAATTTAAATTAAATTAAATGCAAGACCAGTTGTATATGCAAAAACATTTATTACTATGATGACAAGATGTCTACAAACTCCACACCATAAATATTTTATTTTTTAATGGGTAAAACTGGACGCAGGCTGCAAGGATTAGCGTGTCACATTCTAGTACTGCCACCACAAAATCCATCCCTGACTATTCAAACTATGAGCCACCCAAAAGAAATAATCCAATTTTATGATCACAAGAGCTAAGAGCGAAGTCATCAGTTCAATCCTGTCTCTAACCATGCTTCAATTAATACAAGCAAGCACTGACAACATTTAGACCTTTTCATTCTACGACTATTTTTGGTTTCTATTTGAATGATCATTAGAAATAGCCTAACGAGTGATGAAAACACTAAGACTGTGAAAACTTTTCATTACTTCCTTCAAGTACTTTCAAAGGTTTTGAAGGTTTTGAAACAATGGTTTCAAAGTTCCACTTTATCAGCTACCTGCATAGTGTAAAGACAATGCAGACTAGACTTACTATTCAAAGACAACTCATGAAAAGTGTTTTCATCGGCATTAGAATGATGATTGCATTGTTCATTAGATCCAACATCTACATTCTCAATCCGAAAATTTCCTTTTCACTTCTCTATACGTGAAATTAACATTAAAAATAGACATCAACTTTAACAAAGGTCTTGTTTGAATTTTATGACTTTCAATTTTGTGAAAGTTGCATTATGCCTATTTTTACTTAAAGTAAAAACAAATAAAACCTCAACAACATGGCAACCCATTTATGAATAATTCTGCTGTAATACTTATTTACTATGGTCTGAAATGTTGAAAGGCCGTTAAAAAGGCCACTAAAACAAGTTCTCACTTACAATAGGCTTTGAAGAAAAAAAACACCTCAGCAAGTAAGTATTTGTGTTCACTACACTGTCAATGTTAACCCTTGAGAGGATTACTATTCTACTAAACACTGAGTCCTGGCCCAGTCATTGTCTTTGCGCACTTCACATCACAAAGGAACATCCAGAATGAAACCATTTCACACGGGGCAAAAAATATCTGGTCCAGTCAGCTGCTCTACATGGCAACATTAAGGGGCCAAAGAAATCTCTGCTTCTCACCAGGAATACCCTACGGTGCCACTGCAGACACCCACTTATGAAAGGCAGAGGGAAAAAAAATATCCCACAAGAAACAAAGCCACCATCCTCTGCAAAAGCATTTTTTTCAAAATCCACCACTGCAGTCTCTGCAGTACCCACTGTCTTGGAAACTAAGATTTCTGCCTGCTTAGTGCTTAAACCCAGATCCCAAATATGAAGATTTGTCCCTAGGTAAAGAACAGAAAATTTTGCTGACAGCAAGTCCATTAAAGTTTTGAAAGTCTAGGAGCCGCTTTCACTTAGATACATAATGGGTGAAAACACTCTATCAAGGTAATACCCTGCTCTGTGTCATCTGTCCTTGCTGGTGGCCACAGCTGAAGCTGCTCACAACCACCTTTATTTCTTCCTTCCTGTAGCCATCCTAGACCACACTAAAGGCAAGTATCTCTTTCCAGTTCTCTAATGGTTCCTTCAATAATGGCAGGTTTGGAGTTAGTACACTACTGTTCAGGGACAAATTCTTGAACCTTCTGCAGCTCCCTTCCTCTCCTCACGCTCAGCCCACTTTTTTTAGCACCTACAAGCAGGGTAGGCAGACCTCTCCAGAACATGAGAGAGTTTTTGACAAACTGTCATCTCAAGAACAGAGATTACACAGAACATGATTAAATCTAGACCGTGAAGCTATTAAAATAACACAGTAATTACCTGAATGTAGTATTACTGCATATATAGTTATACTGACAACTAAATTTTCATTTGCTCAAAACAGAGTACATGCACTTGAATTTGTCTCTCACCATAATTCATTTTACTATAATGGGATGATTGTGGTTGGTGGGTTTTTTTAATATAAAGAAGCTTCTAATAGCAAATCACAGCTCCCTTTCAATAATTTAAGCACAGATTACCATTTCTTTCTACATAGTTCCAGCAAAACTTCTAAAAATAATCAATGAGGTAGTATTTTTCCCTCCATACGGCCAAAGAACTAGCAGATTCAAGTGTGAAGCATTTTAAGGAGACTTACCTCAGATTCATCTGTTGATTCCTCATTAGACCTGGTTTCCTGAAAATGACACAAAGAACAAAGGGAAAATTAGCTAATTACATCTATATCTGAGCAGCAATTCCCTTTTTAAGCCTTTATTAAGAGACAGAAAACAAAGTAGAAGCAACTCAAAGTTCAGAGTTTCCATCCTTCCCATTCCTACCCAGTTTGCACTGCACTTGCAATCTAGAGCCACACTGACACTCAGTGGCACCAGCTGACTGCGATACTGTTGTCGGATACCCTAAAAGAGAGAGTGACTGGACCATCTGAGAATCTGTCCCTGTGAAAGCTTCCCTCCTTCCAAAAGTGGTAGCAAGTTCTGCAAAGCACCTGCCCATGTCTTGACTTATGAGGCAGAATCACATTCCCCAGTTATGTACAAACTAGCTTTGGTATTCAATTATTCGGCTATTAATAGACTTACTTTAAAATTAAATAATTTCAAACCATTTTCCATAGCAATCCAGCATTTAATGACTTTCTTCTTCCCATCCCACATCAATGCAAGCCATGTGGCTTTTCTCTTGCCTTTGAAGCAAGTGTACCTTTAAAATGTCTCTCTCTGGCAAGACAATGATTCTTACTGTCCTACAAAAAAAATATTGTAAGTCAACTCCTGCTAATCTCTCACCTGTCCACTGAGAAAATCTGCTGATGCAATGCCTCCTCAAAGAGGTCAGCAAAATGAAGATTTACTTAACGTATTTATCGTTATCAGTAGCAATAAAAGGTTACAACTAATACGCTGACAGTGAATGTAAGCATTTTAACAACAAAATATGATATAAGCAAAGACTGAGCAAGAGAGAAGGCAGCATTTCAAATCTTATGAAGCAGTACTTGGACAGTAAGATAAATAGTCACAGAATTTCACCAGAGAATGGGGGAGAAAAAAAAAAAGACACACAGTTACCAACAGTTTAAAAAGAAATGGAGAAGGAAGACAATTTAATGCACTGACAACCATTGTCATCTTTAGTTTGTTGTATTTATTTATTTTCCCCATTTATAAAATGCACCAATTGTGAGCTCTAGGCAGAAAGCAAATGCCTCCTTTGCATTAGTGGAGGTTCACCTTTAGTGACCACATTGACCATCACAATAGATTTGAGATACAGATGGAGGAGAGGAGCAGCATTTCTATTTGCGACTTGAAACCCATTGCAAGGTGTTACCACGATTATTGCCATCTGTTTCCTCCATTTTAGTTACTACAGACAGATCCACCTCCAAAACGTGCATCCCATAGAAGTATTATCTGTGCAGTCTTTATTTATGACAGGAGTTGGGAAGTTGCAAGTAGAAAGAACATGGTAGTCAAGTGAAGATGAAGAGGGAGTAAAATCCTTTCAAGCTTAGGTTTGACTTTGCAAGTACAACTGTTTGTCCATCAGTCTCACTATCTCTACTCACAGGATGCAGATACCTTTCAGGAAATAAGAATTTTGTTACATATAATCTAAATCCTACTTAGCAATAACCAAATTATGACAGAACTAAAATATCATGATGTAACACTGTCAGCCTACTGGACAAGCTAGAAGAATACACAAAGTACAATGTAAAATATCACCAGATTCCTAACAGAAAAACTGCCTCTCTCCTGAAAACCAAGAATTGCCTACTCAACATTTTATAAATGAAAACTATTAGCCCTACCATTTTGATATTTTGATACAATTCACATAGTTTGTATCAACAGGAGAATTTGTTTGGGGGGAAAAAAAAAAGTTAATCCGTTCTCCCAAACAAAATACGCAATTACAGCAAGTGACATTTTTGTTGGTACACATGAGACTTTCTAGCGCAGCTACACCACAGCCCCCTCACCCCCACCCCACCCCGCCCCTAATTGTTTTGGCTATTCAGGAGAACATAAATGTAGGGACAGCCAGTGATAAGAATTTTCAGGATGAGCTCACTATCTAACACCACACAGACTCACACATATGCAGAGTGGAGTAACAGCCCACTTGCTGTTACACCAGTTGATCTTTACATCCGAGTCACTTAAACAATAAAGATTACACTGAGTTGCAAGTTGTTATGTTCAAGGGCATCCTTGGAAAATATTGGCCTACAAAATCAGGGCACACTTGAACTTGATTCAAATAATCAACCTCTGTGGACCAAGAATATATCAATCTGTTTTGATCTGGGACATGCACCTTCGTATGCCTACTGTATTCACAGGCCACTGCTACTGTAGCTACTAAATTTCATAACCAGCATACAACTTCAGGCAAATGCTTCATGGCCTTTATGTTTTACTGCAGAACATAACATGCAAAAATTCAGAGGGAGTCTTGGCTTAGTAAAGAAATGCAGAAACTGTGTTTGCTCCATGAGAAGAACTTAGCTGAAGGTGCTTAGAACTGAATTACCTAGTAATTCACTTTGCTAACAACTTACTATGAAAAGCTTTTTGCCCGAGTTCCCCCACTCCGATAGGCAAACGGGAAGAGCAAACTGCAGTTATGACTGCCCTGGGGTTTTGTTAGGTCCCTCTTTCCCCCTCCCCAAACGCAGCGAGAGGATTATCCCCCACTTCTACTTTTTAGTAACCTTGTAACTGTGAAAAGGAAATCCTGCAACAGAGATTTGTAGAATTTTACATCTGACCACAATCCCAAATCATACAGGAATAGCTGTCAGTGGTAGGGCTCAGACTCTAAGGGAAAACCAGCAGCACACTTCAGCCAGGTGGCAAATGCTGTTGCTCAAGTAGCCTAAGAATGGAGAAAGGGAACATGGATGAGGAAGCCACAGAAATGTGAAGTAATCTCTCACCATTATAGTCCCTCACTTAGCAGATCCAACATAACTTCTCAATAAGTTCTTAACCTGGTTCTCAAATACGACAGATATAGGGGTCTTCCTTCCCTGCCCTTATATAATCAGATTATATCAACTACATTTTTAGACCCAAGACTTAAATCTGCAGGAAGGGGAAAACCATGAAGCTTGGGTTTCACAGAAACTGTGCCACCTACATGCACAACATGCACATCCCTTTCAGTAGAAGTGTGCACACTCCCCGGAGGAAATAAACAGAAACAAATAAGGAAACTTTCTTATCATGGCCCAAATAGAACAAAACACTGGCTGTTTTAATCTCTTATATCATTAAAGAAGGTAAGAAGATTTGTCAGAGTTGGTTTTATCCCTTTCAAACGGTGCCACAGCTAAAAACTCACCAAAGCATGCCATGAAGCCTCCAGAAAAGAAGACGGCCTCTCCCAGCAAAACCCCTGACAGCAGGGAAGGGGGAAACCTGATGCAAATTCCCAATTAAGGCCAATTCCCTTGAAGCAATTTTAAGAGGCATTCAAGACAGACAAACAAACATCACACAGCTTAGCTGCATGTCAAAAATAAAAGTCCTGGCTCAGCAAAGAAACACTGAGAAAGTATCTGAAAGGACTGAGAACTTCACTGTTTGCTTTTACATGATATTTTCCTTGGGAAGGAACTGTCTAGGCAGAGGAGCCTTTAGAAGGAAACCCACTTTAGAGAACCACGGGTCACGAACACCAGACTCCTCAAGTGCTGTCCCAGGAGAAAACTCTCCTGTTGAGATGAACTTGCCCATGTCTCCTGTGCCACGTGGCAAACGACAGCTTCTCAAGCGTTTTAGAGCGACCATTTAGCTCTTCAATCTTGCCTCTACGGCGGTGCCAGCCACATTTCAGTCTTTAGAAACAAATGCAGTTGCCCTCCCGCCCGCCCGCCCAGCCCCCAGGTTCGGGTGTTACCTAAAGAGCGGAGCCCTCACGACTTGCGCCGCCTCCCCTGGACATCTATCGGGGGGCTGGGGTGTTAAACAAAAAACCCGACAGGCAGCCCACCTCTGCGCAGCGAAACGGGGGAATGGAGGCCTC